TTACTGTGTGTGCCCACCCGCTCTCCCTTTTTCCTCAGCTTCACGTAGCTCCAATAGGACAGGGTTTAACCTGTAAGAGTAACCGATGAGACTTGGTTCGCAGCGTGAGCAGACTCGTGTGGCCCCGAAGTGAACGCTTATTCGTCTATCATGATACCTTTCCAGACTTCAGCTTTTTCGCTTGTCATCGAGAGCCACATCTAAAAGAGCTTAGAAACTTTCCACCGCCTAAGCAACCCATATTAAACAATTGCAGAGCTTACGTTCGGATGCGGCATCTCTTGAAACACCTGCGACACTAGTCGTTGGTTGGCATGGGGAATTCGACAATAGTCTTCACACAGAATCAACCGACGTACGAATCAGCATTGAATATTTTACTACTTGTTCGAAATACCTTCTCAAGTGACGGAGATTGAGTGGATACCCGAGACGAGCTATTCCTCTCCAAGACAGGATACATCATTGGTTGGGGATTCTAGTCGAGTCTGTACGACCCCCCCCCAGCCCTCTATCCTCCTTATCGGATCGAGCCGTCGACCGTCGAGCGGTCGTACAGCACATGTGAAACAGGAAAAGTCGCGAGACAATACGACCCTCCCCCTTCTACCAATTCTCAGATTTTCTCCAACTTCCTGCCCTTTTTCCAAAATTTCCCGAAAACTTCCCTACTTTTACCAAAAATTTGCTGTCGAGCGGGGAGGGGGGGGGCATATAGTACGCATGAAACAGGAAAATCACCAAAAGTCAACCACCACTCCTACAACGCCAAAACGTCCAAAACGTAAATACGACCCCCCCCCCTCCCAAAAATGACCAAGTACGACCCCCTTTTTTACAACGTCCATGAAGCGAGAAAAATCAACTATCAAAATAAATTTTTCTCAGCCCAAATACGACCCCCTCTCCTGGCGGCCAAATACGACCCCCCCCCCTATTGGAGGATTCCCCAACAACGATGTGCCCTGCTCCAGGATCTCTTCCATTTTCACTAAAAAAAAGTAAACGATACCTTTCATTAGTGTCCCAGTAAGTTCCATTATCACATCCACCAATGGCATAGAGCATATGGTCCAGTACTACAAGACCGTCCCTAAACAGGTATTCCAAAATCATTAGAAGTCCAAGAAACAGAACTTCTACCTTTTCTTGCTCAAGGGTGGAACCTGCTGCCATGCCGCATTAGCCTCTGCTGGATCGAAGCGCTCTACCGATGTGTTCGGACGACCGTCAGTCCAACCTCCTCCTGAAGATAATGCTCAACAGAGATCATACCTGTTGTGTCGAAATGGCTGGACAACTAATTGAGAAGTTGAGTTTGCTCTAGCGCAATATGCGAAGCGCTCTCATTTCGATGCTCCTAATCCCTCGCCCTCTCAGGCGAAGGAACATTCAGAAGGTTCTCGAACCTGTGAGACTCCTTGGACGTGATTTCACCACTAACCGTCACAATAAAAGCTAATTGCGTCCAGCGCACTCCCACGAATTCACTCTTGCCTTCAACCTTCTTCGATTGTTCAAGTGTCAGGGCATAATAAAGGAATTAGCCATTTTTCCAACCAGGAAATCAAACCTTGGGGCTAAAGACATCCAGGGTATATACGGCGCTCTGTGAAAGTAGCGGGAAGCGGTCGTATGAATAATTCTTGTTTTTAAAACAGTGGTCTTTCCTCTCTCGAGGTAGACTGGAAAAGGCAGACGACCAAAATCTGCGCATTTCGGTTTCCCGGCGAGGATCAACTCCCCCCCCCCCTACCAGCTACAGCAGACCCTGCAAAATATTATATTTGACGTTGTGAATAAGACCTGAACGAGAAACCAAACCAAATAAGCAAGCCTGACAAGCTGCATAACTATTCCTAAGAAATCTTAATATGGTCACTCAATAGGGGCCAGAGAAATCTCAATGCCTTTCTTTTTACAAGAATTCAGCAAATGGAAATAACCTAGTTCTCCTCACAGTTACATCCTACCTTGCTGTGTCAAAATCAGCCCTGGACTCATTTTCTACTAAACTTATAAACTTTCTTTTCATGGAACGTCGTTTGGAGATAAAAACGAAACCTCTCACAAAAGCAATTTCGCCGTATCACAGCTAAGCACGACAAAGAAATTGAAAAGAAAGGTAGGATTTAAAATACTTCACCATACCGGCGTACAATATTTCACCGCAGAACACTTTCCGTGGTCGAACGCGATATTCAGGCAAACTCAGACGTTCAATCATGCAGAAATCCAGCAATTGATAGTCCCGAAATAGGAGACAAACGTAATCAAAGCGGGCAATTGCGTTTCCAAGAATATTACCCACCTTGGCTTCGTCCACAAGATCTCGGCAGCCTGCATCCGATTTCACCAGTTCGCTCTTAGAAATCGTATCGACCAAAAATTTTGGGTGACAAATAGGAAGTCGTACATGTTCCAGCAACTATAAAACTACTCTTCATAAAGTAAATTATTCATTGAAACCCAACCCTCACTTTGAAGAGAAACTGCTTTCGTGTTGTCAAATCGAATTTTACCCATTCAATGACTGCGGCAAATACCTGAAAGAATGACTGAAGTATAAGAAACCGTAGAACGGCAAGATGTGAATTCTAGTTCGCTATGGATGATGGGGCTGGATTTGGCGCGGTAAACACCCCCCCCCCGCCCCTTTCCTTAGCTATGAAAGCTGGCAGGTAACCGAATTGGTACAAAACTGGCAGGAACTCAGATTGGTGCAAAACTGGCTGGCGCCGCGCCAAACGCGCACTCGACATACAACATCATCAGCCAGTAAGAATGAAGGTGATATTATCAATTCTCTATTTCACCTGTTCCTCTGAACGAACATTGAGCTCGTCGTGAAATTTAGATTGATGTATACCTGCCTGAAAGAGGTTAGAAAGTAATCCTCAGGCCAACTAACCCCTGAAAAAAAAGCTTTGAGAGGCAGGCAATAGGCGAACCAAAGCCGAAAAAGGCAGTTACCCTGAAATGATTACTAGTATACTTGCAGCAAAACGAATGAAGCTTTTGAAAGGGTATTTTTCGGCGAACGACCGGATTTTCAAACAGTTTGATGTACACATTTCTTTCTCCAGGAATTCGCTGCAGAGGTCCTATGCACGAAATAATCAGCTACCGAAACTTTCATGAAAAAAAGCAAACAGGGCGAATTCTACCAAGCGTCAATATCCTTACCTGAACATCGCTCAGCTGCAGCAAACAAGCACCTGATAGAATATTCAAGACGTTCGTGTGATTGACTTCAATCACCCCCAAATAACAAAAATTGACCAGGGCGACCAGCGCTGCGTCTTCAACTTCCACATACACTTCTATTTGTTGAGATAACGCTTTCATATCGACCATTTCCAGCGATTCTGCAATAGCGCGGTACAAAAATTACCGCCAAAAACGTGGTTGTCACATCTAATGCGTTGGCTCATGTGTATCCGCGGTTTTTTTTCTAACAAAGTGTTTGTGTGACATAAGAGAAGCTTAGTCACTGTGACCAACGTGCTCTAACAGAGAAGCTCGAGCTCTAAAAGTTGTACGCAGATATTCCATGCTAGTTTGATTCCTAGTGTATTTTACAGTTAAAACTGGGCTTCTTGAATGTCGGCAAGCTCAGGAGGGTGTGGACACCGCGCGATTAAAGATAGACACTGCGCTCAAGTAGTACACGGTGGTCCTTTCTTGTGCAAGTAGACCACTCCCCAAGTTAGAGACTGTGCCACTCTCGCGATTCCACTGAGAGCGAGTAGCATGCTATGCTATACTCGCTGAAAGTTGTAGTTCTAACCCGCCCAGTTGGACCGCCCACTTGCTAGATGCCCTCTGACGGAGGGCCGCTCAGTTGTTCTTTGTTGGGGCGGCGGGCATTAATCGGAATGCTTTTTTGCTGACCGCGCTCGTGCCCATGAATAATTCTGCTCTCCTTTATTACATTTTATTCATTAGGAGCACATACAGTCAACTGCAACCCATCTCGCAAGGTAAAACGCGTAAAAATCACGAGTGATGCAATTTTCGTGGTGCAAAAGCTCGACATGCACTAAAAGATGCACGCTACCATAACCCGCAAAATCGGACGCCGAGTTTTTAGAATTATCTTTTCTTACTGTTTTTCGGCCGTGTTTTTGTTGTTTTTCGTATTTTTCTCTTTGTATGGAAAACATCCACTACTGGCACGGAGACCGCAGGGCGGTGTGACTGTCAGGCAGCGATGTTCATGGTGTTCTTAAGGGGCTCTTCTTGCTTTTTTTTTCTTCGGAGAATTACTCATAAGCTACTGTTCTAATTAAACAGCCATTACCCATGACACTTTAATCGCGGGAGCTGTCTTCAAAGCGCAAGCCGACAGATCTCTGGCGACTATAGCGCAACCAGTTCGCTGGGTTGATGGGATAACTTCCCGTATTGAACCCTCGGTCACGCTAATGGGAAACCGCGCGATTACGACTGACCAAGCTCTACCGCTTATCTTTGGACCGCTGCAATGTTCGAAGTAAGTTTTGCCTTTACTGTTGATAAAGTAGCAGCTGCAGCTGTCAATTCAGTCGATGTCAAACGAATGTGCCGTAGGATGGTATGTGGTCCCCTCGCCAGTTGACTTAAACCTGTACGTTCAATTCTGCTCATTTTTGGTCGACATAGCGTTCCATTTACACGAGTAAAAATTTAAGAATTTCATCGGCAAGAGTACTGAACATATTATGCTACACAGGGAAAATTCGCTACTAATGGCAAATCGTTCGCACTGGACACGAAATTTTGAGGTTGAAAAAGCACCGATACTTGCTACCCGCTCGCACCGATACTTACTACTCGAAAAATAGAGCAGAATAAATCGTCACTAGTCGAGTGAGACTTTTTGGTTTTGGGTATGGAACGAGTTCTTTAATCACACGTTCAAATCAACATTTATGCCCTGCTCTTTAGAGCTACCCTTCACATCTCAAGGATGAAGAAGGCGTGGCTGC